GCGCCGCATGGGACGGTGCATGGGGCGGGGCCGCGGTGTATTCTGCTGCTGTCCGTCATAAATCGCTCTCTGAACTTCTCCGCTGGCACACCGAGTGGAGGACGCGTCCACGCCTGTGCAATTTTTACAAAGTATTTTTCTGTTTCAGCTTGGAAAGGGTAGTTTCATTCAAGCCCGCTCCTACATGGTATAGATACACCAAAAAATATGTTTTTGAAGGGACTTTGGACCTTGGAAGCTTTTGGAGAGCATTGGAGGCTTCAAGATACAATATTTTATCATATTTCCGTCAATTCAATACGGGACTTGGATTGTAACTGTCATGACTAGGGGTGTTCATGATTCGGTTTGGATTAGTTTTTCTCTAAAACGAAACCAATCCAAATAAGTCGGTTCTTAAAATGTTGGAACCAAACCAAACCAATTAAGTAGGTTTTTAGCGATTCGGGTTTTGTCGGTTTTTATAGGTTTTTCAGTTTTTTCGGTTATTTATCGGGTTGTTTTTCTTAATTATGAGATATACACTACCAAATACATATTCCGGCGACTACATTTTCAATATAACACTATCAAACCAATTGCTCTTTGAGAAATTTATCATTTACCATGATATATTGATGATAATTAAATCAAATAGTAATGAATAGTTTAAGTACTCAATTAAAAATCAATTATTTTTAATATGTAATAATTCTTGTACTTAGCAAAAGCAAACAACTAATCAAACTAGAATGTAAAAGCAATGAATTAGATTATTATAATAGCAAAGAAATAGACTTAAAATATAAATGATTAATATGTACCATAACATTTTAGAAACTTTATATAAAAATATACATATATATAGGTGTAATAATAAATTTAAATAACTACTTCTATAGTCGGTTTGGTTCGATTTTTTTGGTTATTTTTTTTATTAAAATCAAGACCAAACTAAATTTGATCGGTTTTTAAAATTCAAAACCAAACCTAAAAAGTATCGATTTTTTTGGTCGGTTTGGTTCGGGTTTTCAGGGTTTTATGAACACTCCTAGTCACGACCCAAACCGATGGGCTGCGACGGGCACACGGTACCTTACTCAACCAAGTATCAACGTAACGTATCTTTCGTATCATAGGTAAATGAGACGGAAAGGCTGTCGTGAGATAACCAGAATAGTGCACTCTAAAATAGTACATTCAGATATAAATACTAGAATGTCCAAAAAATTCAAAAAATAGGCAGTGAAAATCCTAGAAGGCATAAATATTTACCTTAGTATGACTCCCATCCCTAGTAAAGAGAGAATGTTAGGATTGCCACACCTCCTTTTTCCGCCCCCCGCGAGGGGTGAAGGAGTTTTTCCAATTAAAGGACAATCGAAGCGGGATTTGTTTGTTTATTTCAGAGTCGCCACTTGGGAGATTTAGGGTATCCCAAGTCACCAATTTAATCCCGAATCGAGGAAAAGAATGACTCTGTATTACAGTCCGCGAACCAGAAATCTGGATAAGGAATTCTGTTAACCCGGGAGAAGGTGTTAGGCATTCCCAAGTTCCGTGGTTCTAGCACGGTCGCTCAACTGTTATATTCGGCTTGTTTATCTGATTTTATACAATTATAAGCTCATGTGCAAATTTTAACTCTTTACCGCTTTTATTACATTTTTAAAGGAATGTGAACATCGTTTAAAACATGTCTTTGGATTGCGTCACATGAAATGCACCCGCAATTCGGGACGCATTTTTATTCAATGTTTTGGGATTTGGATTTGGGTCGCATGAAATGCACACCCGAGTTTAAGAAGGTAAGATTATTAAATCGCTCCTAAAGAGTCTAACGCGTTATTGTCTTTGGGGAAGGCAGTGAAATTCACTAAACAGTCCATCCCGAACTCTAAGTATTTATAAACATTAGCCGAGGGCCCCGCAATTTTGCATTATATTTGGCGAGGCTCGTCTCATCTATTATTTAAAGGCTAGCCCTAAAGCAATCTATAATTTTCTACTTAACTTGTCTCTAAAATAAAAGCCAGTCCTGATTAATTGTCATATGTGAGAGGGCCTAGATCCTATAATTCAATTTCAATTAACCAGGCCCAATAACTGAATGAATAAAACGGGACACCTTTCACAAGTTATTTAACACGAAACAGGCTTCATTTAGAATGAGATGAGCGATTTGAACCTATGGCAAACCCATAAACGAATTGCACAAAAAAAACTTCACTACTCAGACATGGGCGCTAATTTCATTTAAAAGGGTCGGAAATGAAGTGGATTTTCCGCATACAAAACGTATATTATTTCCAAAAAATGAGATGTATCTACTGCCTTCTTTTTTCCCTCTTTTTTAAAAAAAAAACAGAAATGAGCACTAACTAAACAAGTGCTCACTATATAAGAGTTATAGCTAGGTGATCACAGATTGAAACAATTCAAACACAGTCCAGTTAAGCTCATATGAAAGCTTACTGGAATCCCACAACTACTCTAGATATACGAACTACACATAATTAAACATGTTAATCACAGAAGCCACATTCTTCTAGAATACATTGAATGGATTCAAAGGTTCTCAAGCTAAAAGCAGTCTAGAGTTTATCAGCATTCGAATTACATTAAACTAATACATTGGATGCCTATTCAACTGTTGACGCGACATAATTCAAACAAATAGAATTCCAGGAGAGATTGAGCAAATGTTTCATTTCATCTCCATTTCCAAAAAAAAAACTACAATGACCAGATTCGAACTGTGTACCTGGTAGGAGAACAAAGATACAGTAGGAAAAGATGTCAGTAGTGATAGCAGCAGTGCAGCAACAACACAAGCAGCACTCAGCAACCAAACAAACCCAGCAGTAAACTTAGAAGAAAATCCAACCACAATTTCAGGCCAACCCAAACAGCAACAACCCAAAGAAGCCAATAGGAATAACTAGTAGCGACAGATTTTTAAAACTAAAGTAGAATCCCAGGAGTAGCCCAATGGAACAGTACTCAAATAATAGAAAAGCTGGGGACTACCAAACTGAGAATCCAGTAATACAAACAGCACACAGACAGGTGCAAGAAACAGTGATTTCTGATCTTTTGTTAAACACTCAAAGGCAAAGATAAGGTTGAAGCTCTTTGATGTAAAGCTTAACCTGGAATGAGGGTCAAACAACCTTAACACTCCTGTTCCTTTCCTCTCAACTCTGAAATCTTTTTCCTCCACCTTAATATCTGATTTTTCTCACCTTAAATTCTTATCTCCTAACCTTTTTAACCTCTGATGTCTAACCCCTTTCTCCACCTTAAATGAGCCCATTTATAGGCTAAATACAAGCCAGCCCCAGGCTGCCTCGTTTCCCCCAGCCCTCAACTCTGCCCATACCTCTTTATTCCCCATTGTCATGTGTTTTGTGCCCCAATGGTATGGGCAACTGACAATATTCAATTACCCCCATGCTACCAAGTTTGGTTCCCCACTATTGCATTAGTTTAATAATCCTATTTCAGTACCCTATTGTCAGCTCACCTTAAACTACTCATTTCTGCTCTTTTCCCACCCCAAACTACCCCTGTTAGCTCCCAATTATTACTGTATTATCCCACTGTAGCAGTAGGACATTTTGAACTTCTGCAAGTTCAAATTCAAGCTGCCCTAAACTAAACTCTAGCTATTATAGTGCAGCTACAATCCATTCA